TCTTACCACAAAGGTTGCAGACATACCGTCTGAATTTTAGCTTCAAATGTTTCTCCAGAAGCTTATTTCTGAGAGGCTACAGAAACAGCTAATAAGTTACACAGTTGGAACACAGAAAAGAAAGCCTTTTGTTGGTGTTTTAAGACACACAAAGAAGAATGCTATTTTGTCTCGGTCCCTAAGCCGTAGTCAAAAACACACCTTGATTCGAACATAAATCCCAGCTGACGGTCTCGGTGGAGCTGAGACCAAAAGAAGCAGGCAGTTAAAGAGAACATAAAGGCTGTGAGTGGACTGTGGTTTCACACATTGATCAGGCTGTCTCTGAACAATTATTGTGCCGTATTTCTAGCTGAAATTGAGGAACTATTTTAGAATCTTCACATCAAGCTGTTTTCAAATTATTGCGTGAAAAGCAAAACATTTGTTTGAAGAAATCACACAACGGCTTTTAACAGCAGAGCCGGTTGGTGAAACCTGATCAAACATTTGATTAAAGTGTCTCCCATTTGCGCTCATCCTGGTAATCACCTGCGGCTAACAGTGCTTGTCTCGAACATTTAGTTAATTCCGCCACAGTAATCCACCTATCTGCATTCCAGCTACCGTCCATAAAAGTCAATGGCAAGAAGCGACAATATGCACAAGACAAACTCATTAGCTCGCTCCAGCGTTTATAGGTAAACAGTGAAAAGCTAACCGTTTCGATAAAGGAAAAGGGCAGACAGTTGAAGTTGTCACCGCCCAATAAACCCCTGGCTAATGCACTCCTGAAGGGCCATTTGGGCTCCCAGACAGGGGTCAGCGTCTGAGCTGCAATCAAGGCTTCATAATAAGAGCAGTGGGAAGTCACTGATTTGTCCAACTTTTTCTTCACTCTTTGATCTTTTTCAGTTTCACCAACTTTTTTTTGCAACCTTCAGATGTCGAGGGTTGTGTTATGTAAGACTTAGCAACTGTTCAGCTATTTTGAAGAACAGCTACAGCACAAAATTCCAACCTAGCTTTGTAAGAATCTAAGCAAAGAGGGGGGAAATGCTTATATTTTGATTTACCAACCATAGAAAAACGGTAAAGAAACTGAGATCAAACAAAATGGTGAAGCTGCTGCCAGTGGCTTATTATGGTCCCCATGATAACCACATACATGAGTCTGGCACTGCCTTAATGAGAGGCAGACAAAAACAGACTGAAAAGTAAGTCTTGAACAAACAATGACTGTGCAAAAACCAAGTCAGCTCTAAAAAAACTCTTCAACACTGAGGTGTGGAAACTCTTGTATCCACGATCTTGTTCTTTCGGTCACTACCCTAAGCTTGTGGCAATAGGTGAGGATAGGAGACAAACTGGTTAACAGAGCTCCATTCTTTCCTCAATCGTGAACAAAACATCARGATCCTTAAACTTCTCCACCTGAAGCAGAACTTCAACCCAGAGAGCAATCCACCCTTTTCCGACTGAGGACCATGGACTCAGATTTCGAGGCGCTGATCCTCATTCCACCTACTTCACACTCTGCTGYGAACTGCTCCAGTGAGAGCTGAAGACCACAGCACGATGACACCAACAGGACCACWTCATCTGCAAATAGCAGAGATGGAAGCTAAAGAACCAGACACCCTCCACCCCCAGGTTGCACCGAGAAATTCTGTCCATAAAAGWTATGAACAAAATCTCTAACAATGGGGGAATTCAAATCCCCCCAAATGATCCAACTTACTGCTGTCCCATATGTGAATTTTTATTTTCCCGCATTGTTTTTTGTAGGAGATATAATAAGTTAACAAGAGACTTTACTTCAAGTTTAGAAGAGAATTGAAGTTAAACTATAGCAGAATTTTTGGACGCCTCAGCGTGCACTCGACCTAAGGACGTATGAAAAGTCAAAGCGTACTATTCCTGATTGAGCAGTATGTTTTGGTATACAATTTAAAGCTGCACAAGATACAGGAGATATATTTTACACACAATAGTAATGCTTATGTCTTGGAACCCATAATAAGTCCACATGTTGGCAATCTACTTACTATATGTAGTCTACATGTAGTCTATGTGGCTTTAAAAGCCGATGTCCTTGCCTTTTTGCATCGCCACATCCAAATGGTAAAATCATGCACACACATGTGCACACAAGTCTATTCAAGTGTAGGAACTATCTCCCAGGAGAATGTCTGACTCCTTCCTGCCATCAATGACCAAGAGGGGGAAATGATTATGCACTTTGAGTCAGCCTTATCTCAAATGTGTGTGTGTGGTAATATGAACAGAGTGCTTTTCATGTATCCAGGTCTGTTTGCACAAAACAGGGGACAAAATGTGGGGGTTAATTGTGGTCTGCTGCTCTAGTGTTAATCTAAGAACATCTGAATGGTTTCGAAGGAGGCCATTGATGCATCGTCAGAGGATGATCTTGCTGTGGTTTTACCAAACATGTCAGATATGAACACATAAAGCAAATGATTCTGGTTTGCTTTGGAAAAACCGTGCTGCCTCATTTAGATCCCAGTGGAGTGAGGTTCATTTTCTACTTTGTTAGAAAGCAAAGCTGACCAGTTCCTGAAACATTTCACCAGCGGGCTGGCAGCCTGTGACGACACAGGATCATTTCATCTAGACGACGCTCCTTAACTGCAAAAACAAACGTGTAGTTGGCCATTTAGGTTTGGAAAATGATCCCCCTTAAAATCAGTGGTGCTTTCAGCTCAGGGGATAGACGCACTTCACTCTGGTAGGAAGCTGATGCAGAGGTGCAGATGACGGAATAAGTTAGAAATGCACTGACATCAGACATCATAAACCAGATGTGACTCACAGCTGGTGGGATGTCTTCATGCCTCACAGGAGAGTAAATGTTTCCCAAAAGCTGTGCAGGTTTCAGGTTTCTCAGGGAGCCGAATCTGTTCATTGGACACCGATGTGACAAACGAAAAGGACTCTAAATGTAAAACGGAGTCTGCAGTCTAATAAAACACCAGCAGTTTGCAGCAAAGGAGCAATTGGTCACAAACGACTCACGACTGCACGTGTTCCTTTGAAGAATCCCAATTCAACAGATTGTTTCCTCCATTACAGGAGACCTGAGGACAAAATGTTTCATTTGAGCGGCTGAATAAAGGTTGGCTTTGTTGTTTTGGGCCAACAGCAAAACACAGCTCCAGTTTTGAAATCAATCACTTTAAATCCAAGGCTTAGAGCTGTGTTTGTGGYCGTATATCAGACACTAGAAAAATTGAGGGGAAGGTGATGTTCAAGAGATGTGTGGACAAAAAGCTTGTTTTTAATCCAAAAGAACAGTATGAAACAAAGATTGGAAAACCAGGTTCTTTTATTACCCTGTTCAAACCAACACAGACTTGTCAGGAAGAAAGAACAAAAATGACCCTTTATTACCTTTCAGGGTAACAATAAACCCTTTTTTGTTTTAGCAGAATCTTCAGTCACATAATGGACACCACTGTCTCTAAGAGATCACAGTCATTCTTCTCTTTGGAACCTAGAACACTTTGTTTCATATAAAATAAAATTATACGGTCAAAAAAAAATTTTCTAAGATGAACTTGGAAACTCAGCAAAGATGATATATACTGTATTTCTCACTCAATCATTCATTTACAGCCAGGTTATTACCAGGTGCAGCAAAGTAACAACAGATTATGTTAAGGCCAAGTGATTTTCACACTGAGATTTCTTTCCAGAATAAAAAAGGTACAATTAAATCCTTTCCCTGCCCTACCTTTAATGTGTGTCAATTCACACCAGAAGGAAGGGTGTCCCAATCCCTTTGGTGATGTAAAGCAAAGGTGAAAGAATGAGCTTTAACAAAATCCAAAAAAACAATTTTTTTACATTCTGCATCATGATCCTACGGAGCCCATCTGGTGACATTAAAAAATAAAATAAAACAAATTAGAATGGATAAAAGGTAATGACTTGTGACCACAAGATAATTTTGTAACTGTTAACTGTTTTTTTGTATGTTTAATCTAAAGAGTATACAGAGTAAGAGAGGAGCCCATTTTGAGTTTTTTTTTTTTACAAAGACAACTCCAGTCATCAACTGTGTCTTATAGCTGCAACATATAAAGGTAACAATTATTTCACGCCTAATCCCAAGTGACTGAAGTACATCAAAAAATTAACTTGTTCATGTAAACTATCAAAGGTCTCTGCATAGAAATGTCAGCAATAATTATCTTGTGGCCATGCATTAACTTAACCAGACAGGCTCCGTATGATCCTTAACATAATAGAAACAAGTTTTAGTTTGGCTTTGTTGAAACATTTTACTGTCACAACTTGGGTAATATTCTGTTGTTTGAATATCCAGGATTGTAGAGAAGGAGGTCTCTGCAGTCACTAATTAGGAGTTTCTTATTTTGTGGGCATAGTTGGCCCAAAATGTGATTGGTCAGACTGACGGTGGGGTTTGAAGAAGCTGAGGGGCAGCGGGGAGTAGCTTGGTCGAGTCGGGCAGGAAGCACCTATGTTTTTTAAGATTAATTTTAGTCAAAACCTGAGAAAGGAAGCTGCATGAAAACTGAATGCTGAACATGTGGAGGGACGTGTAACAATATGGCTCAGTCAAAACATCCCTAACCAGCCTGTAAAAATGTAGCTAAGAATCAATATGAATATAAATATTAGACATAATTTGAGACAGGAAGGTGATTGCCGCATAAAATATGAAGTCAATAAATTATGTTTACATGTTAACAATAATTTTTATTTGAGTCATTGTTCTGTTTTAAACACAGACAGTCAATAAATCATATTATTTTACTATTACCATTACTTCTGCTTGCTCTTAAAATGCTCCACAAAACAAGTCAATCCGACCAATCAGTTAAGAAAAACTCCGCCCACACACCAACTCCACCAATCAYGAATACGGTCAACTACGCTCACGCCAAGACCTCCGCCAATTACGKGTAGGACCATCTCTGCCCATGTTGTAATAAAAAAGGTTTTGTAATTAATTCTGTCAAAATATGTAAGATGGGCCTGTGTTCTTCTGGTTTTTTTTTACTTTATTTAGAAGACCACCAAACAAACATCCCATCAATAACATGAGGCAGTGTCAGATTAGCACATGGGACGCCCCTCAGATCTCTTGCTTCTGGTCACTTCCMTTTAAAAAGTGAGATGAATGTTGTTAATCAGCACGTGGGGGCTGTGTGCATCACTCAGCTCCAGTTGTCCTGCTGTAATAAAGCAGGCTGCCACTCTGAGTAATTACTCTCATCTGTCTCAGCTGCTGCAGCAAAGATCTGACTGAATAGAGGCTTTCAGGCAGACAGAAGCATGTTGAATACACTGCCAGCCTAATGCTGTACCACATTGTTGAACTAAAATTATGTGATTAAAACTGATGATCGAGTGAGTAAAATTCACACAACAGTGCTGACTCTGCAAAACCGCTCCATACACAAAGAAGGTCCTCAGTTTTAAATAGTTTTCAGAAAATTTGTTGGATGCAACAGAAACCGAACTTTATGCACTGCCCTCTTCCTTCAGCAGCACTGTCTCCACCATCTTGGGTAAGAAACCTTCCAGGAAGTGAAAGAAGTCCTGAAAATCTCCCGCCTTGTCGTTGCTTGGCTCCAACTTGAGCAGCGTCTTGGTGTTTTCTGTCCCGCCGACCATCAGGAGCTGAACTCTGAATTCCACAGGCTCCCTGAGCTCTGGCTCCTTCTCCGTGATGTGAGCTGTGACTTGGGCCTCCAGCTCCACACAGCTGCCCTCTGGCTTACAGTCCGCATCTTTCATGAGCTCCCTTCGCACTTTCCTCCTGCCAGCCCACACAGCGTGCTTCTGCACACAGGTCCATGGAGGGATTTCAGGCCTCCTCCTTTTTGCCAACCTCGGCTTCTTGCCATGAGGTGACACCGTGTCGTCGCTGCCAGAAGACAGAGGCCTCTTGGAGCCAACGTCTGCTGGGCGTGGAGGGCTGGCTTCGTTTTGAGACTCAACACTCGCAGCGCTGTCATTTAATGATGCATTGATGGAAGCTGATGTCGTTTCCATATCCTCAGCACCGACAGCTGCATCCTCACTAAATTCGCTGTCTTGGGGGGCGTCAACGTGACACTTGAGAACAGTTTTCAGTACAACCTCCACAGCCGAGCAAACCCTCCGGAACCACAGCCTGAAGACATCTCCGGTCACGTGCAGCTCGTCACCCAGCACCTGGGGCAGCGCCGCCGGCTTGAAGGGGATACTGATGGTCGGCAGCTCTGTCTTGTTGTGCTCGACTTCCACGTGTGGGGTAAACAAGCGCACCAACCCCCATGACTTCCCCTTGGTGGACTTGTGCTGGAACTGCAGGCTGCGGCAATACTTTTCGGCCTCCTGGCACTCCTTCTGGAAACTGCGCAGAGAGCGCTCGTTCAGGTTTCCGGCAACGTTGTGGGAGAGCTCAAAGGGGTCCAGGAGATTTAAGGGGCCAAGTTTGGGACGGTGTGGATGGCTTTTTGTACGCTGTTCCTCTTGCACTATCTCATCCTCTTTAGTCTGGTCGAGGAAGTTCACGACTGGAAGTGTATGACCCTCCCTAAGGGATATCACACTAGCGGCAAAATCAAACTTTGCGTAGAAGGAGAAGAAGCCTGAGAGCAGGGAGCCTGGAAGGAGAAAACAAAAAGACCAACAGTTAGGTCTAAGATGGACATGTAAAGAGAACCCTGATAGGTTATATTATTAGACATTATTTGATAAACATTTACTTTAACTATAAAACAAAGGTTGTAAAAATATTATAGGCTGTTTGGTTTTCATAAATTATATAAAAAAATACATTGTCACATGGAGGGCGCCATATTATTTATGCCACAAAGCATACTGGGTAAATGATGTTTATTAGGACCTCCGATGAAAGGCTTTTTGTTTCCAGACGAGAGGATCTACTCACCTGAAGGTTAAACTTGTGAAAAGTGAAACTGACAGCTTCTCAGGATCCATAAACGGCTCCCCAAGAATTCTTTTCCTTTGACTACTCAGAGCCAGGCAGTGGTTTAAGTAGTGCAAAGAGGTTTCTAATTCAATGCCAAAGGCGTCACACAGACCATTGTCATGGAGTCCCATCACCATGTTGTAACGGTTGAGCAAGTTGTTCCCAGTTAGGACTCCAACCAGTTTACTTAAAGAGTTTTCCTTGTCAGGATGATGAGAGCTTTTCCAAACCTAAGATTTGGGCCATTTTACAGTTCTTGTGCCTGTCTGGAGTCTGTCAGCTCCCTCCAGTGGATTAAGTGTTGACGTTTGATCCAGGTCTGTAGGACCGTCCTACAGACTGTTGTTGAGATACCTGCAACAGGCTCTGATCCTTTGAAGTGAGCCTGACTGCCAGCTTTTGTGAGGTCATCAGCTCTCTTGTTATCATTAATGCCAGTATGTCCTGGAACCCATTTAACAGTAACACTGCTGTCTCTCCCCAGTTCGTTGACTGCGTCGGCACACTCCCAAGACAGTAATGATGTATATAAAATTAGATTATTCTAATTTCCTGAGACAAGGAATTTGGGATTTTCATTAGTTGTCAGTTATAATCATCAAAACTAGAAAATTTCTGAAGAAATTTAGAAGGGGCTTGCCCAAGTGTGCCTAACTTGAAACCAAAACTTGGCCTAGGAAAACCAGAAACCCCTAAGAACTGCCTAAAATAAAAATCTCTTCAGAGGTTAACAAAGGTCATCAATACCCAGTTTGGAGCAATCAGTGGTATTTTATAGGGTTAAAATGATTTGCTTTAATCAGAATCACTGTACAAATTAGTAATCAGAGAGAGAGATTACTTGCTATCTAACGATGCTTTATTTGAACATATAAGAACGAAGATTCATCTGTGAATCTCTCACTTAGCTGCACATACAGTATTTTAGGATTCATATCTCTTCTTTAAAACCTAGTTTAGATTATGCTGGTTCGACTAATCCAAGCTACTTTAATCCAGATTACATATGTTAATCTTCCTAAATCGTCTGAAAGCTGGTCGCAGCATGTAGGGAAGTCCCAGAATGTTGTTCTCGATGTCCACCAGCCGACACACACTTGTCCACAACGAGGCATGCAGGTGGCCGAAGAACACGCCGCTGTCATGGAGGAGCTTCAGACCCTGAACACACAAACACACCGCATCTTAAATATTGCTGTTAATGTTATCCTTTGCTTGTCTCCTGACTGAAACCTGCAGATTTGACAGTTTTTAGTGCATTTACCTCCAGGACCAGGATGTGGTCCAGCTACAGGGCCTGACTTTTCTTTGTGTTGCAGTATCTTCAGGTTACATTCTCTGGGCTACACCTGCAAAGATCAGGAAGTGGTTTGGATAGCAATAGAAACCTTTAAAGGCAACACTTTGTTTTGTGTTGAACTGGAACTCTGTGGTTGAAGGTCACATTATTCTTTAAACAAGCTGTCATTTTATTTAAAATATAAATCGAAAAAATATATAATCTGAGTATTTTGTTTTAACAAAACATAGAAATTCTGACAGAATCTGTTTCTCCAAATTACAGAAAGTTGTTTATGTTTACAGGAAGCTCAATATAAAATTTAATTAATGTATTAAAATCCATAAACATGTCAGTAGATCAGTGTAGTAATTATATACACTTATTTTTATCTTTGTTATGAAGGGTATTCTATTTCACAACCAAATAAAGCAGAATCCTTTCAACTAGTAAACATTTTAACATTCACTAGTTACCATTAAATTATTATGAAGCATGGAGTCATAAGCTAATGTTAGCTGTTAATGTGTCAAGTTACCAGCAGTATTAATGTACAACTTTTAGTATTAAACTAGATACTGCGCTCTTATTTTGAAAATCCAAACGAGTTGCATCCTGTTCAAATTGCGTCGGAAAACCAACTATAAAGAGTAAATAAACTTCTTGTAGCACATTATTGTGCAGCAGTAACATTCTCTACAGTGTAAACAAACGTAGCAGAAACATAAAGCACAATTCTTCAGAAATATGACACATTTTAACCGCATGGATGGCGCTAGGCTAAAGGCTAATCAACAGGTATAACTCTGAGCCAACACCGTCCGCAAATTAAAAAACAAACCTTTAAGGCTTCAATCTCAGATAAAAGCAAACATACTTACCCAACTGAGAACAGACCTGAAGATTGTAGCGTGTCACATTAAAACTCAGAAGTCACATGAGAGATAGCTGCTTCTGTCACTATAGCATGAAGGGAGGATTGCGCCCTCTGATGGTCCGGATGTCCGAAAGGCAGGATGTGTGTGGCGGTCGGTTTTTCGTTAATTTCTCCGCAGTAGTAATTGGAATCAAAAAGTTGTTGAATAGCACACATCTCCACTCCAAGACGATCATTTTAATATGATCTTTGTGGGGGTGCATGCTCCGGTTTCAGCCACATTAAAAGTGATGGAAGAAGAATAAAGAAATAAAGAAAGACTAGGTGTAGAGTAATGGATTTGCCATTGCATGGCAAGCCCCTATTAAAGGAAATAACATTTGAAATATATCAGTCTGTGTGTAATGAATGAATATCATACTCAAGTTTCACTTTTTCAATGAAATTACTGAAATAAATCAACTTTTTCATGATAGTCTAACTTTATGAATAGCACCTGTACGCCAAGATTAACCTTCAGGGTGGACTGAGGTTGCTGCCTTGCATCGGAGGAACAAGCAAATGACATCATTTACCCAGTAAGCTTTGCAGCGTAAATAATATGGCGTTGTCCGTGTTTTTTTTTTTAATTTATAAAAACTAAACAGCGTACAGCATTTTTACAGTCAATGTCTTACGGTTGAAGTAAACATTTTTCAAATAATGTTTAATATTACAAGTAGTCTACAACTTTAAGATCTTAGCTTATGCCACATTACATTTAGGTGTCACAAGAAAAAGATCTGTCTTCTTTGTAAACAGCTTTCACTTACAGAGGTCCTGTGTGTTTCTGCTGCGCTGCACGGCTATAGGCTGGCTGGGGAAAGTACAGTTCCAGCCTTCAATCTCACATTCCTCCTCCTCACCTGAAGAAGTCAAACAAAATGTTAGAGGTACATAAACCAGATTTTCTCTCTGTTATTATTATTATTATTTTATTATTTTTTTAAAGGCTTTGGTTTCTGTCTGGCTGGAATTCATTTACTCCTGATGGGACAAAAAGACTGGTTTGATATTTTTCTGCCTCTATACTTCAGTTTGCATATAAAGCTAACTCCATCCATTTTCCTGGTGTCCCTGTAAAGCAGGTGTGTCCAAGCATTTTGTCAGTTGGGCCAAAATCATAAAGTCAGAAGGACTTGAGGGCCAAAAATATGTTTCCTTTACCTGCTCAACAATAAAATAAGCACTGAATACTTTAATTAAACAAATAAAGTAGTCGGATTTATTGCTGGAAAGTGGTGCGTAAATTAATGTAGATCCACAACTTTAAATTTGTTTTGCAGGTTTCCCTTATTGAAAGAATTTTTGCAATTTTCTAGGTTTCAATTGGGGGAAAAAATAACCGAATTTAATCAATTCTGATCAATAAGACCCAGATTTAGGTCACTCTTTCGTTGAAAATGCTTGCTGTATTCAGATGAATTTAATAAATGAATTAAAAGCAGATTTAAGTGCATGCAAAATCAGCTTCTGAGTGGACGTTACTAAATAGATGTGGAAAAAGCTACAAGTCTGGTTATTTAAAGACAAATAATTTGTTTTGTTRCCAATATTTTTTATTGCAAACATATTAGTATAATACTTGAACTGAAGTMAGGGGCCACACAAAATCAGTTCAGGGGCCACAAATGGTCCCCGSGCCACACTTTGGACATCCCTGCTGTAAAGAATGATCTCTGCAGGCAATGCCGTTTTAATTAAAAATGCATAAGTTGCCAACAAAGGTGTTCTATTTATTTATTTTCTTACAACTGTTTCATAAACATACCAACAAGTGTAAAAAAAAAGCAGCTGTGTGTAACAGCAGCGTGTGCGATGTGATTGAGCTTCCACCCAGACTTTTAATAACCCTTTTCCTTTTGGTGTGTTATTTTTTTTATACGTGCAAAATATTTTGACAGCCTCGGTGCAATTAAAACCTTGTTCTCGGTATCATCATTCGGTCGTGCGGATATTTTTATCTTTTGTTTGTTGGTAAATTAAATAAATGAATGAATTGATGACAGATGCTCAGCAGCTCATTAATATAAATCAACTAAATCTGGTTATAAGACTAACAGCTAAACCCATCGTTGAAAGTTTTTGCTTTTGCTTGAACTCTGTGACTTTGTTTACTCTGTAATAAACTGACAAACAAGCAATTTTTAAGACATGTTTGTGCAGCTGAGAGTTTCAAGCAGTGCGCTTATCACGCACAAACCTGAGGAGCGCAGCACTTACAGGCCATGTCTTTGAGCTGGTCGACAGTGGGGAGGACAGGAGGATCACAGTTCTGCAGGTAGAAGATGACCAGCAGGGTCAGAGCATAATTGTTGAGGAGGGGGCCGGCGCCGCTGGGATTACCTGCAGGTCAAGGATTTGATGACATAAAGAATCATCGTCAGATCTGGGATGGTATGATGAGATTTTGCAGAACATTTGTACAGTTGTACTACTACGCTAGTTCTGGAGAAGTCGGGATGCTGTGTAAAATGTAAAAATAAAGAAAGAAAGAAACAATGCAGTAATTAGTAAATCTCATAAACCCATATTTTATCCACAAAGGAACATTGAAACACAAAGTGCTGAACTAAAATATACTAATTTTGGGTATGGATTAGCCTGGTAAAAACCAGACCCTTGTCCTTCACTTTGCTTCGTACGAGGGTCTGGACTCTTGGCTATAGAGAAGCGATTATTGCTRGAGGCGGGGCTTCTGCTGAAGTTTAAAATGACTGGATCGGTTGGCGACGAATGTCGCTGTGAAGGAGGCTAAACTAAGAAGCTAACCAGAGAAGTACCGAGCTGAAGGAGACAACTGTAAATGAGAGCTGCTGCTTTGTCAGACAAATTTATTTTAATTTTGGAAGCCTTGTCAACACAGACTGGCTTCATTCACTTCATCCACTGCTGTATGCTAAAATAACTAGCAGACACTGCGCAGAAAATCTATGTCGTTCAAAACTCCACCTTCTGTTTGCTGATTGGCCCAGGTAAAATAAACTACAAGCAGACACTGCGCAGAAAATCGACGTTCTGTTCTCTGATTGGCCTAGGTAAAATTCTCCAGAAGAAATCCTTCTCTATGGGAGAAATCCCAGACAGAGCAGTGAAGGGAAACTAGAACTGATCGGAGCTGCGTAGGAAGGCAAGGGCCAGGCTAAGTTATATCCAGAACAGAACAAACCTGTTTTTAATGCAGTGAGACTTGAAAACCTCTGCTCATCTTTATTTCAGGGAGATTCAGGGTCTGTAAATGCTCTTTTTTTAATACACATTCATCCTACTGACCTGTTGCTACTCCCATGTCAGAGTTGAGGTTGTATGAGAGATTAAACAAGCAGTACAAAAATGATAAACTTTTCATTTTTGCATTAAGCATTCTTAGAATCAGCAGTAGGAATGATGATTCCAGTGGTCTGAGTTTCACTGAAGTTATCCTGATAAATCCACAAAGCGCTCTTTGGCACGGACTCATTCAAATGTTGTGGTTGCAAAATCTGCTTTTAAAGTCAAAAAGTTTATTTCTACGATACAATAATTTCCTTTCATTGTTTGTTTTGATGAAAATTGGCATCACTGATCAAAGCAATCGCTTCAAGATCTCAATTTAGACTTGAAATGGCAATTTTACATGTCATCACGCTCTCCTTGATGAAAGGTGCATCGGCAGCATTGACAGAGTTCAAAGGAAAAGAGGTGAAACACGGCCGAGGAATGAAAGGCAATTAGTGTGCTTTTTAGCAAAGAATAGCCTTAATAAGATTTCATTTAATATCAGAGCCTGTACACAAAAGGAGATGACATTTTTTGCCCAGGGATCTATAACAATGCACTAATAAATGCATAACATAAAAGTAAAATATCAGTGAGTTGAGGGAATTTTATCAAAGGAGGAGCTGTGTGGTTCTACTGACATCTGTAGACGAAAGAGCGAAACAACATAAAAGCATAAGTAACTAAAACAGACAAATTTTAGGAATAAAAATTGTTTTAAAAGGACTGCATCATACCAGCTAACTGCTTTTGCTTGGCCCAGTAGCGGATGGTGTAGACGAGAGGCCGCAGCCTTTCCTCCACTCCTGAGCACAACTGGAGGAAGCAAGTGTTCCTCACTCCCAATCTAACAAGAAAAACACAAGAGAGAGAAAATTGCTTTCTGTGCAAAAACAAACATCTCACACCAAGACTGGAATCATTTTATGCAAAACAGGATTTTATCAATTTAAAGGGATCCATGATTAGTTGTAACATTATTATGACCCCCGCATGTGAAGCGGGAGTCATATTGTTTTCATACTGTTCTTTTTTTCAGTGATTTTTGATCAACCGTAGCACAAAAAAGTCTGCACCAATCAACATGAAATTTGGCAGGACTGTAGATGAGTCTGACCTACACTGCACCAGCCAACGGTTTTATGATAMACCCCATATTTGAAGAGGGGACTCCTTTCAAAGAGGGGCAAAAATGCTTTTAACTCAAACTGTTCAACATAGAAGCTTCAGATTTCTTTTGTTGCTTAGCTCTGATGAAGCTCTATCCATCAGGCC